ATCCTTAAACAGATCAATCCGAGACTTGGTCGAACCAGTTCATTGAAAGGATGCAAGAGTACACCAAGTTGAAGAACATTGAAATAGAAAAAAACAAGGAAAAGTCAAAGGGTGTACCACCCATGGATTTGTCAGGAGACAATTACTTTGGATCTTTTAAGTAGTTAAAAATGACATTGATGTATATGTCTTTTTGTTAATGAATTATGACATGGAATGTTCCCATTTTGGTAATGTATGTGCCTATTATTATATTTTCATGCAATCTACTCTTTCTGTTGTTTCTCTGTTTCTGATTTTTAATACTATAGACTTTACCAAAAATATATTTTCGGTTTTTAAGTTAAGGTGTAAATCAGAAATACATTTTCGGTTTATATTCTGTCAGTAGATAGGATGTGTGTGGTCCATAACATCCTCAAACTACAATATAAGAAACTCATCCCTCTCCCTCATGTTATCTCATGTCTAAACACTAAAACAAAAAATGAATATCGTTTAACATATTGGAAAGGTTTGCTTCGTCAATGGGGATCTACCATCAAGGGAATTCAAGACTAACATGTATGAACCGCTTGAGGATTTTCATTACACAATACGGGGACTTTTACCATTTGGAGACAATCGGGAAATTTTGAAGATTGAGTACCACTCTTCATCCATTAACAACGACAGAAAACTTGAGTTCATCAACAAAGAGATAAAGACAAGCACTAATTTATGGGCTATCTAGAAAACCTTTTTTGGTTGCGACGAAAAAGTTTAAATCGAGCTTGATGTGATGATTACAAGAACGATCGATGAAATTTTGAAGTTGTTGCAACGTCCACCCGGATGTTGAAGTGTAATATCGCATATATGTTTAAATCCCATGTGTATTGCTTACTTTATGTAATTTTATGTTTTGTTTGGGAATCTTGATGTAATGTGTAAGTGTTTCTTTCCTGCATTATGTAATGAATAATATCGGAAATACACTTTCTGTTATAAATCATAAATAAATTTACGATTTTGTTTCTTTTTAACTAGATGTTGGTGCGTCCCAGAGAGCATTTCGATTCCCAGAGGTATTTTTGGAAATTCACACTGGTGCCTAAGAAACCCATAAGGTGCATTAAGAAATTCTCCCAAAAATGTCATATGATTGTTGTATTTCAATAATGTATTATGTTGCAGACATATTTTCTATACCATATGCTTTACAATGTTGTGACGCAAAGGTGCCGATCAAGCTGAAGGTACAATTTTATCAGACAAGAGTAGGACATGCGATTTTGTGCGAGACAAAATGTATTTGTGTTTGATGTATGGTAAGATTAGGCATGATAAGATTAAAAATGAAAATATTATAGTACTTTTAAGGGGAGAGTCATGTTGACGTTGAAGGTTTCATATTCGATTTGATTGTTACTAGCTTAATTTCAAATTTTAATGATTGCTCGATCAGTAAGTTATCTGGTCCTTCTAGCACAATCTTGGCGCCACTTCCTTTGATATTAAAGGCCTCTTCCATTGAGAGAATCTTGGCGTCACTTCTTTTGACATTAAAGGCCTCTTTCATTTAGAGGATCCAGGTGAGGGAAACCTCCTAGTCGATGGGTGTGTTGAACTCAACAAGAGAGTCTGCCAAGACCTGTTATTTGATAACGCCTCTAGGAATGTATTGGATGTCATATTCAGATAGTTCGACTGTCCAAGGTACCATTCTTTTGATTAGGTATAACTTCTTAAGGATCTAGTGTAGGGGTAGTCTATTTTAACCAATATCCACTGTCCTTGAAAACAAGGCTTGCGCCTTCTTGAGGTCACCAATAGTAATACGAGCCTTTCTATCTTCTGATAGCAGACTTTAGCGTCCCTGAACAATTTGCTTATGAAATAAATAGATTGTTCTACCTTATATGTTCATGAACAAGTACTGAGCTTAATTTACGGCCAGCAACATACAAGTAGAGATATAACGAGGAACCTGTTATTGGGCATGTTAGAATGGGCAGTGACGCTAAGAAGGCATTCAACTTTGAGAACGTCTGCTTAAATTCGCTAGTCCAATCACTCCTCTCATTTTTCTTCAACATGGCCAAGAAGTGAAAAGCCTTGTCATAGGCACAGGTAAGAAAACGAGAGAGGGAGACTAAGCTCCTAGTTAGTTATTGAATCTTCTTGACATTGGAGTGGCTCTCATGTCTATGATGGTTTTCCATTTATCTATATTTGTCTCTATGCCCTACTTGGTGAGCGTGAAATCCAAGGAATTTCTCGCTTGTACGTCAAATGAGCACTTAGTTAGATTAAGGTGCATGTCATAATTTCATACTTTCTAAGTCTACTGCATGACTTCGTCTTTTTGATGTCTTCGTGATTATGTCATCAATGTAAACCTCTAAATTTGTGTCCTATTTGCTTTGAGAACACCATGTCCATGAGCTGTTGATAGGTGGCCTCAGCGCTCTTGAGCCCAAAAGGCAAGATGTTATAATAACAAATATCATTATTAGACATGAAATCTGTCTTGAGAGCAGCTATGGGATCCATTTTAATCTGGTTGTACTCTTAATAGGCATTCATGAAAGTTAGTATTTTGTAACCCGAAGATTTGTCAATCAGGTAATTTATGTTAGGGAGTGGGTATAGATCTTTGGGACATGCGTCATTGAGGTCAGTGAAGTCAACGCACATACACCACACGCTTGATGTCTCCTTACCAAAACTACATTAGCCAGCCCCAAAGTATATTTTAACATTTTTATAAAATTGACTATTGTCAACTTCTAAATTTCCTCGCCAATGGTTGTTCTCTTTTGTATTTTCTTTATGACACAGGCTTGACCGAAGGATATATGGCAAGGCGATGACACACCATTCTAGTATCCATGTTAAAAAATATTTGAGGACACCCAGATAAATAGATCGACGCACCTCTTGAGCAGGGATGATCAAATATTCCTCTCCAGATTTGGATAACGGGGTGTCCAGCTTTGTGACTTGGTGAGGCAAGGGGCCAATCTAGAGCTCTTTCAAATCTTCGGTTAAGATAATCCTATGAATTTATTCCCCTAATCTAGGATCCAAGTTTGTCATATCAGAGTCATTCCTTTCTGGGCGAGAGATAACAACCTCCGTGGTGGGCTCCCTCGTTACTCCCAAGTTGTTTAGGTAACATTCTTGGGAGACCGCCTGGTCTCCTTGACTTTATCCACGTGCTCACCAAACAATGAATATTTTAGGCTTAAGGTGTGGAAAAGAACGCCTCTAATTAATTGAGGGCGAATATCCCCATGATGACTTTGTAGGGGGGTGGTAGCTACTACAAGAAACTTTACTTTTACGGACTTGGCGATGTAGCCATTGACATGTACCTCTTCTCCTGACAGACCGATCATGAATCCCTAAAAAGATCCAATATTATGGGGATTTATCTGGAGTCCTTGTAAGGTACTCTAGAACAAAACGTTTATAGAGCTACCAGGATCGATTTGCATCTGTTTCACATCCCTGTTGGCCAGTTGAATCGTGATGACCATAAGATCATTATTTGGGGGAGTACGCCTATAGCGTCTTCTCTCGAAAAGGTGATTTCAGATTCTCAGTTTGTACTAAAGATACTGAGGGTTTTTACGGGTGTAATGTTTGGTGTTAACACCTGTTAGGCGTATCTTCTCTAGAAGGAACTATATTCTCCCTCTCCCAAGACACCACTGGTGATGGTGTTAATGGCCTACTTGAAACATTGTTCAAGCATCATCGTGAGAGAATGATATGTGTGAGGCCCAAGTCAATTTTACTAAGGGCCCATGATGGGCACCAATTGTACTAGATAAAATACATTATATGTAATAACCCATAGTGGATAAGGATTGTCATAGGCTTTTAGGTTATTAGAGTATGAGATCTAACTCACGCGAGGCAATAATCAGTTGTATATGTGTATTACTTCATGTTATTCATTGTCCCTTTTTAATATATCATGGTATTGATGTATTTATAACCTTCAAATTTCTTGAATTGAGTGAGCCATGTCTTCTTAAAATATACCAAACTTCATAGGAATAATTGGTTGATACCCCAAAATTTCAGAAGATGTAATTAAGTCACATGACTTCCTAAGTATCGACTATTGACCACTATATGCTCCATCCAGAATCGCACATTATGGACAGAGAAACATGAAGTCAGGAGATGAATCCAGACAAAAAACGATCAATTAAAAAACTAAGGGCGCTTGAACTAATAAAGGTGACTCAAGAATGACAAAGCATATACCTCTCACCCTCACCCCCAAGACCTTTCTCAATTATACCCCCTACAATTATACCCCCTACACTTGATTTGGATTACTTTTTTAAAATGTTTGGTTGAGAGTTAGATACCTTCACCTTCAACTTGTTGATTTACATCATGTAAACTTAATTTAACATGTGAGTTAGATATTCTGTAGGCTTAAACCCACCCCCTTCCATTTCTTCCACATAGGAACTGAATTTGTATCATAGCCACGTTGCTTCAACAATAAAATTGTTTAAAACAACTCCACCCTTTTAACATTTTGATTACTAACAACGGTTTCACACTTATGGTCAGTTCAAGAATAAAACCCTCAGACAATCACTCTAAACTTCCAAAAATATAAAATTTTCATTTTATTGTAATAGATTGAACAATAACTTGCAGAGCAATCTTGTTTCCAATTGCTTGAGTATAATAGATTGAAAACATGAAAAGAACCACATAATTATTTTGCAGCAATGAAAGTTCTCCACTAATGTTGCTAAACATATAACTTACAAGTTGCAGCAAAGGCTTTATGATCAGTCAGTGAGTGGGTGAGAAAGGGAGAGCACAGAAAGCTTTGAGAACTCATTTAACACATTTTAATGAGGTTTCAGTGACATTACAAACAAAATAAACAAGTTGAAATTAGAATGTTACTGGTTATTAAGCACTGCCTAGCCAAGGATAGCATGTTGAATGGATCAACCTATACACATACATCCCTTAGTTTAAGTACCGTCCTTCTTCTTACACTTATTGTGCCCGAGGCTAAGTAGGAAATCTATAAATATGTGCTCATACTCTGGCATTTTTCCATACCCTGCATAGGGTTAAAGAGCAAAATGTTCATCCGGTTTGGTGCAGAAGTTTAGCAACATGTGCAATGCCAGGAAATGAAAAATAGAACTGTTGAAAATTGCTACAGAAAACTTTAACTTTAACACTAAAAAGACAATGACATAAATGGAAATAAGTTGTACTTGCCAGGAAAGTAATTGATATCAATGACATAAAACATGTCCTTTGTCCCGTGTTCCCGTATCATATCAATGTTGAACAAGCGGAGTCCCTTGAGGTGTGATGCAGTTTAGCTTTAGTATAATGTCTCTCTTTATATGAGGAATATTTACAAGAGAAAGTAAAATAACAACAGAGCATACCAGTCTACGACGTAGATCTCTTGCAAGCCTCTCCAATAAAGGTCTTGGTGGATGTTCTACAACAACAGTGTCACAGTAAGACAGAAGAGACTACTAGCTAGATACAAATTATTGTATTAATAGCTAAGAAGTACCGACACAAACACGGACATTCAATATGACACCGACATGTCGACACCAGTAATCATTTTAAAAAATGAATAATTAAAATCAATCACATGTGTCGGTATCAGTGTTGGACACACAACACACTTTTGTTAATAGGTGTCAGTGCAACAGAGGTTAATACACGACACTCTTTTGCTTACTACTCATTTATCAAAAAGAGTAGTATTCAGTTTCCTAGACAGATAGAGAGCAGGAGTTTCACCTGCAATATTTGGATCCAAATCAGCATCATCTGCAGAAGCTGCTGCACATGAAACTCTTGGAAATCGGAATAAACCATCAACATCCAATAGCTCATTTTTACTAACATTGGGTAGAGAGAAACGCCTCACAACCTTTATAGTTTCACCAACAATATAAATCTTAAAAAGAAGACCACCTGCAATGTAACCCACTCCCCGAATGGAGAGAAAGATTTAAAAAAACAAAAGTGAATAGAACACAAAAATTTAGGTCTACAAATCAGTTAACAAACCATGATTAACAAACTCTTGAAGAACAAGTGGAGGTTCAAGCTTTGAAAGAGACAATTCATCATAAGCAAGACACAATTCGTGTGACTTTGCACTCCCATCCACAACTAATGGTTTAGCAACTGAAAATGAAGATAAGAATTTGTGAATATTCAAATATGTGTAGACATCACAAGAGACAAATAGTAGATGGGTTTTTAGTGGTTTTTTAGTGACCCTAAGAATTTGTGAATACCTAATGGTAACTTCATTCCAGCCTTGGTGACTTCATAGGGAATAGTAGACGGGTTTTTAGTGATAACCAACTGTTGCGGAACCCCAACCTTGCCTAAAAATTAAAAGTTGATAAAAAAAACACAAATTGCAGTGAGTAATGATAAACCTAGTGTAGTGCAAATGAAAAGGCTTCAACTTGAGAAAAATAGTTGTATTTATATTCCAAAAATATAACAAAACCATGAACTTATAATTAGCCAATATTGGACAAAATGCATTATTCTAAATTTAGGATTAGCTTAAAGATTCATTAAGAAAGCTCCAAAACTTTGAGATCAAGTAAGTGTTTAACTGTTTTAATCAGAAAATCGCTTAAATTTAAATTAGAATGTAGTAAATAAATAGGTTACCATGGCAGTCCGATAAATTTAGCTCTGCCACATTTTGTAGCATGGATTGTCGATTGAGCAAATGTTGAATTGCATCTGGAGGGTCAAGGATGGTTACTTCGGGATGTTTATGCCTGTAGTCCTTCAAAAATAAATATACAAGTTTAGACATAAAATCAGCCCCGTCCAAATATAAAATTCACAGACTACTCAAATAATTACCTGCTACATTTTCGCTTAAAATACACTCAACAGAAAAATTAACAATATGACCAATTTAGAAAAGCTGTAAATTCATCATCTCGAAATTACCAAGCAAGTTTTTTTTGGCACATAAAAGAAAATTAGGACTAACTTTTATAAAAGCCAAATTTGTTAACATGCTAACCTGAAACGTTTCACAAACTTCAACACTAAACCATTTGTCAGAACTCAGAAGCTCTCATTTTTTGTTCTTCCAGGTTGATATCATTATATCTATCACGAATGTTGGATATTATAAGATTACCACACTAACGATTTGATGGCTAATAATATTGGATTATAATTGACAATTATAGGCAGCCATGTACTTTAAGAAATTTGGTGTTGACAGTTCCACTCTTTAGCTGAACAGCCTCGGCGCAACGGTTGAAGTTGCTGTCATAGGACAAAGAAGTCACAAATACAAGAGAAGACTGCTTACAATAGATCAAAAATGGGGCCGACCATTCTACAAACCCCACCATGGTGAACACTGAACAGCTTATGGCATTGTGCTGCCCATTTTTTATGCTTCATTCTTTAGCTACAAAGAAGACCGGAATACTGACAGAAGAGTAATTCCAAAAGAACTATCTATTTTCCTTAATATTTTAAAAAATATGGAAAATATTGCATGAAGAGAAATCTCTTTTTTCCAATATTGACCAAGTTAACCTTTGTCAATATTTCAGGCCATCCATCATATGAAGGATATAGAAATGTAAGGAGATCAAAAGGAAACCCCTAAATAGGGTTGTTAAAAAAAACTAAGAAATGAACTGAACCGCCGAACCTAACTAAGGTTAAAATAACCAAACTGTTATGTTTGGTTAGTGAACCAAACCATATTACATAAACAGTTCTAGAACCGAACCGAACCGAAACTGAACTGAAACTGAAACTGAAACTGAACCGAACCAAAACTGAAAATGAAAAATACTAAAAATAAGTTTTAACTTTAAAAAAAAATAGTTTAACGGTTCGGTTCTTTAAGAAACAGTTCGGTTTGGGGAAAATTGTCTTCTAACAGTTCGGTACAGTTTGGAATTTTGAAACAGTATATCAAACCAATAATTTTGATTCGGTTCGGTTCAGTTCGAATGAACTTTTCTATAATTTAGTTCAGTTCGGTTCGGTTTTCTCTCTGAATTGTACCATGAACAGCCCTACCCCTAAACAAACTGGTTGGCTTCATATCAAAGTTGTCAATATCGGAAAATAATAGTTTGTCAAAATTCCACTAAGGAATAATGCTACAGTGCCACTATCACTGCTATTTGATAACATTTTGTACTAAACAGTATATTGAAGGACAATATCAATTTGTTCAGATTCCACTATGCTATAGCACGACTATTTAACAGCACTGCTTCATTTTTCATCCCCTTAAAGGAAACTATGTTTTCCCATTTGGATATAGTAAAGAAATTTTTTATTAATACAATGACAAAAAAATGGCAAGTAATAGAAGCATGATTAAGTATCAAAGAGAAAGCAGATAAGAAGTTAAAATGTAATTATTATTTGTCTCCCAATGAGATTAAGAATGAATCTTATTACGATATTTTCCTAATTTTCTTTCCTAAACACTGCACATGTATTTCTGATTGTAAATTAATTTTCCAAGTCAGACAGTCCTAAATCAGGGAAATATAATCAACCTATGGAATTAACAGCATTACTCTTCTTTTATAAGTCTAAGGAGATAATAATTCTTTCTATTGACAACAAGGTCCACAAATGCTTACTCATATTATATAGATGAATCTCAAGAATATATCCTCATTTCTTAGAATACTTGAATTGAAAGACTAATTTCAAGTATCTGGTTATGATTCATGACGAGGAGAGCATAAACTCTGTAAATTATGCGTAAGATAATAAGATTTTAAGAACCCAAAAAATGGCTATTCACCACTGTTCCGAACTTAATTCACAGCATCTAAAGATGGCATTGATTTCATGCATTTTGGTGCATCAAAGGTTCACAAGAACGCAAGATTTATAGTACAATCGGAAAGAGGGTGGAGGTGGAGGTGGAGGTATTCAGAATTCACAAACCTCAATAATCTCACGCCACTCTTTTCCTGGCAACTGGGAATAACAAATAGAATGTCAGATAATGTGACGCAGATAGCATAAAGAAAACGGTTCTTAAGATATAAAGTCCATCAGGGGCAGAAACACGGCATAACCATTCATACAAGATGACTTTTAAACATCAATGGAAGTGACAAAACAATGAAAGAAATCTCACAAACCTTATGCAAGACAACATCAAATGGACCTTGTTCTAACAGCGGCTTCTTTAGATCAATGGCAACAAAGGAAATCCCCTTATTCCTACGGTAAATAAGTAATCACTTAAGAATCAGTATTGAAGGTCCTAAAATAGTAGCACATTCTAAAATTGTTCATCAACTATGCAATCCAAAAATTAAGATGTTACTATGCGGTGACACTCACTGTGACGTTAAAGTGGATCAAAATACAAAATAAAGTCCGTGTATAGAACTTTGAGTATAATAGTTTCACTTTAATCCCTAAATTTGGTGAGGACCAAATCGAAAACAAATGTAATGAGAACTAACTTGAAAGCTTCTTTTACATAAACCAAATTGAAAATGAATGTTAAGCTTAAGAATATGAATCCAGATAAACATATAACAAAACAAAAAAAAAAAAAGAAAAATGCATATGTAAGTAAATACTTAGAAACAATCTTGTTGACATTTATGGACATTCCAGATAAGCAATTGTATATCTATCTGGTTCCTTTTTTGAAGGATTCAAAAGTGATTCTACCTGTGTAGAATTGATTTTGACAATTTGATTCCTCTAAAGTAAAATAGATTTTAGTATTCAGAATTGATTCTAAATTAGATTTATATAATAATTTTTTACTCTCAACTCGCTTTTAGTCCATTCAACTCACTTTTAGCCAAAAAAAAAAAAAGTAAAAATTATCTTGAAGGAGAACCAAAGACAGAAGCAAAAGGCATATATAGTGGAATATTGTGGTATGGATTAGAATGACAGAGATATGGTTAAATCAAAACAAAGAAAAAAACCAATGTCAAAGATATGAGATAAATTACATAAAAGTGATATTAAAAAAAGCAATGTGATAAATAAAGAAAAAACATATTGTGAGTTCCATATTCTATATTGATAGAAAACAGAGTAATAATATGCAAAATGCAGATTTAAAAAATAATTTAAAAATAAAAGAATATGCATGCAGAATGATAAAGAGTGCGAGAATGAAAAACCTTGCGAGGGCAATAAAGTTTGGCTTTAAAAAGCTTTTCTTCTTCTTCGACGTTAAGGCGTAACCAACCACCATTTTCTCTTGATCTTGTTCTCCATCGGAAATTTCTCCGTTCAACTTCATGCTCTCACAAACCCTAATTTTAAGAAAAAAATCTATTCAATTTTTCTGAACTGTTATTTGTGGATGAAACCTGAAGCTAAGAAAAAGATCGATGATTTGCGACTCTATATAAGCTTCGTTTTACGTAATGTTGAGTTAAGTGTGAATAAATAAAAAGTGAGTTAGTAGCGTCAAATTTGATTATGAATTTCATTTCATGGTTGTGTTGTTTTTCAGAGTAGAAGGGAATTGTGGTGCGTGCGTTTTGATTTTGTTTTGTTTGGAGTAAAGTGTGTGAGGTGAAGAGACACATGTTTCTATTTAATAACAAACATACACTTTCTCTATTTTACCCTTACGTTTGGCACCTTGTTAAATCAATTTGCAGGATATCTAATTTTATTCTCTACCTTATCCTCGTCTTTAATTCTTTAATCAAACCATTATCTCCTCTAACTTCCTTTTTTTTTTCTTTTATATTTAAATAGCCAATTAAGATTACGAATATTTTCCTCCGTTTTTAAATTAAATTTTTATTTTAACATTTCATGCAAAATTGAAAATATATAGGAGTGGAGTGACTCTGAGTAGTATCTTTCTTTTTCAAAAAAAGTTATCTCATCCATTGTTTGTACTTTGTATTGAAGTTCCACGATAATTTTAATAATATGAATTTACATAAATAACTATGTTTTAAAAAAAAGTGAATTAAAGAGGAGGCGCCACTTGAATTGGCGCCTCTTATATATTTTTCAAATTTTTTCAGTTACTTACGGATTTTTCTACAGATTTGACATTACCTATTGACTTACTTGTTGGAAAATAGTCCGCAGGTAAATCCGCAAGTAAATCCGCAGGAAATGTCAAATTTGCAGGAAAATTCACATGTAAATAGAAAAAATTGAAGAAAAAAAGTTAAGAGATGGCTAGGCGTTATCTCACTTGACGCCTCCTTTAAAAAAAATCAATGCATGCGCCATCTAAAATAGCTAATGCATTATAACGTTTTCTAAAATATGGTTATTTGCATAAATTTTTCTGAAACATAATTATTTATATTTTTTTTCAAAACAATTATTATTAACAAAAATTCAGAGAGGGTAGTTCGTTGCAGTTTTTCTAGGTGTATAGGAGAGAGGATTGAACAATTTAAACTTAAGAGAGAGACTTGAATTATTGTATGATTTATGAGTGCAAAGAATGATTTTTCAGGGGGTGCAAAGTATGAAAAATATATAAAAATACATGTGAAGACTTGAAGTTGAGGGGGTGCAAAGTATGAAAAATATATAAAAATATATGTGAAGACTTGAAGTTCAGGAGTGCAGTTGTATCCTCCGGTTAAAACGTGGCTCCGCCACTGCATAGTCATCAAGATCCATGTCAATATCGATTTTCATTGGTAATTAGTGTATATTATTGAATAAATTTGATAACAATATTGAAGATAAATAAGTAAGAAATAAGTACTTTTTGAAAATGACGAACTCGATTTTGAATAAGCATATTCACAAATCAATTAACAGTATGATTATAGTTTTAATTATCTATTGACTCTAATATTTACTTTGATTTCTTAGTGTACTTACATTATAAATCATGAATATGTTAAAAACATATACTATGCTTTAAAATATTCTTTTTGTCCCTTCAAACATCTTCATTCGCATTTTGTTTTCTATAAAATGCTCAATAATAACCTATTCACACAAGAAAAATTAGTTATACAATAAACATGAAAAACTCGTTAAAATAATATATAGTGCTTATGATGTGAAGAGGAAGAGAGAAAATTTTAGAATATCATATCAACCAAATAGAAAAACTTTAACACTACAGATATCACGAAATAAGATATATAGAATAACTCCAGCACTTAGATATCTACTTTTCGACTATAATTTGTCTTCAATACCACAGGAGCCATATAAAATGGACTTCAAATTATCTCATTAAATCTTTCACGGGAAGAAAAAACAAACATTAAGCTAATTGCAAACCCATGAAAACAAAAAATCAAGCAACATTACAACCTTAATCATCATCCAAAACCTCTTATGGGTTTAGAAAACACCGACAATCCAAAATTTATAGCTTTCAAAATCTATAGAAAAAATTCTCGGAATTAAGATTTCTATGCATCAAAAGCACTAAATGGCTTGATCGGTGTTAAAATGCAGAAATAATAGGGCCAATACATTGCAACAAAAACAACGATAAAAGTTATGAATAGATTGTTTGAAAGAAGAATCAAGAATCAATAACAAAATCTTTTCAAATGATATTCCAGAATCTGAATCAAGAAATCAACCAAATATGAATCAAGAAAGCAACCAAATCTGGAAAGAAATCAACTAAATCAAGAAGCAATTTTTTTTTATGATTTACACTATAAATAACATTTTACACGCTTTCAACCTAAAACTCTTGAATTGTGGAACTATTTCAGAAGGAAAAAAATTTAATTCAGAATACCATGCATTTTGCATTTCAATATTTTTTAGAAAACAAATGATATTCCATAATTTTTGTTACAGTAAGTTTCTCTATTGAAACTTTTGCTAACTGATTTTGTTACCCTTTTTGTTGGCTCTCTTCTGGAAAGGAGAGGAGAAGAATCTTTACACTCTGATTGACTTTCGGTTTAGATTTAGGAGTTTAGTGTTGAATCATATCAATAATGTACAAATGTAGCGATCTCTGATTACTGCTCTGATTCTGATCTCTAACTTAGCCAAAATATTTATTATTGTGAGATCCTTTATATCATTGTCAATGTACATTGTTGTAGGTAGTAGATTATGGAAGGTTTATATTGTTGATGTTACACAGTTTGTAGGCCTGAAAAAGTTGAAGAAGAAGAAGGTCAGATCTACAGTGGTTTAGTGTTTCGGAATGGGTGGAAAATGTTGTTAAATTGTAATCTAATGTGTCGAAAAGATTTGATTTGTTTTAGATTTAAATAGATTTGATTTAAGTCTAGAATAAATTAGATTTGATTTAGTAACACAAAGATATTTTGGGCTTTGGGCTTAGGGTGTAAGATCAGTTATAAATAGAGGGAGTAACCCCTATTTTTGTAAGTAAGTCAAGCAAGCTATTCACAGTATTTTACAGTTGCAAAGTGAATAATAAAGTTTTCACAGTTTGTGAGCAGAGAGAAACTCTGCAGAAATTATTTGTCTTGTCTTCTTTTCTTTGTTTGTATCATAATTAAATTGTCATTGTGGTAGAAATTCATCATAGACTTTGGTGAATTTCCAACATCTGGTATCAGAGCTTTGTTTCGATTCAAGGGAAGTGTCAATCAAGAACGATTGAAGAATTCACGATGACAAGTTATGGGAATGCAAATTATCCAGCAACCCTACCAATTCTGAAAGTTGACAACTATGAGAATTGGTGCAAACAGATGAAAGTCTTATTCAGGTGTCAAAGTCTTTGGGACCTTGTAAAAGATGGAGTCGAAGTGCTTGGAGAAAATGCTTCAGAAGAAGAAAAGAAGAAATACATAGAATCTGAGAAGTTGAGTTATAAAGCATTATTTATAATTCATCAATGTGTCAACCCAAATAATTTCGAAAAGGTTAGTGATTCAGAATCTGCAAAAGAAGCTTGGGAAATTCTTGAGAAGTATTTTGGAGGCGCTAAGAAAGTGAAAGAAGTGAGGTTACAAACTCACAAAAGGACCTATGAACTGCTTCAGATGGAAGACAGTGAAAGCATATCTGATTTCTTCACTAGAGTTACAAAACTAGTAAATCAAATCAAGATATGTGGAGAAGCGTTAACAACAAGAGCTGTTGTATCAAAGATTTTGAGATCTTTAGCTCCTAAGTTCGACCACATAGTGGTGGCGATAGAAGAGGGGAAAGACTTGTCGAAATTGACAAAGGAAGAGCTTCAAGGGACGCTTGAATCTCATGAATAAAGAATGAACGAAAGAGCTGCAGGAAAATCGAAGAGTGATATGGCCTTGCAGGCACATTCAGCAAAAGAGACCAAAGGCAAAGGAAAGTGTTTCGACAGAGGTAGAGGTGGCTACAACAAATCGAATGGTAGAGGAAACCAGATCGAAGGAAACGTGTCGAATCAAAGAAGACCATACCAAGGCAACCAAAGAGGTGGTGTTGCAAATAGAGGAAGAGGTGGTGGTTGAAAACCTGATAAGAGTCACATTCAATGTTATAATTGTCAGAAGTATGGTCACTATTCGAGTGATTGTCCAGAAAAAACGAAAGAATCAAGAAAGTGATGCAAAGCTTGCAAAACATGAAGAAGAAGAAGAAGAGATGATGCTGATGGTCACAACAAGAGATGAAGATAGATTCAAGGACCAATGGTACTTGGATTCAGGATGTTCATCACATATGTCTGGAAGGAAAGACTGGTTCGTCAATATAAAGCCCTCAATGAAAAATATGGTAAAATTTCCAAATGACAATACCCTATCAGCTGAAGGTATTGGTGATGTTATGATTATGAGGAAAGATGGCAAAAGGTCAGTAATCTCCAATGTGTTGTACATACCAGGCATGAAGAGCAATTTGCTCAGTATATGGCAGTTGGTCGAAAAGAATTATAAAGTGTCAATCAAAGATAAGATGATGAGAGTCGTTGATGCAAATGAGAGATTAATCTCGAAGGCTCATATGTCTCAGAATCGAACCTTCAAGATTGAACTAAATGTGATGGAGCACAAGTGCCTTTCGACTACAGCTAGCAGAGATGAATGGATATGGCATTATAGACTAGGCCATCTCAACTTCAGAGACATCAGAGATTTGAAGAGAAGAAATATGGTTTCAGGATTGCCAGAAATTGACATTCCAAACGAGGTATGTGAGGAATGTGTGTAGGCGAAGCAACACAAGAATAGCTTCAGCAAGGATGCAGGAAGCAGATCAAAGGCTAGTCTTGAAGTCATATACTCTGATGTATGTGGACCAATCCAGGTGGATTTGATGGGAGGTAACAAATACTTTGTTACATTCGTAGATGATTTCAGTCGAAAGCTATGG